CCCAATTCGTGTTGAGCAAGGAGATGGTCGTATTGTATGTTTAGATGTTTCACCTCGATGTAAAGGTAATTTTAAATATTTTGGTCAGTTGGGAAAAATTCTCAACCATCCCGATACACCTGGATCTTTTATGAGCTATTTACTTGATCAAGACCTTTCGAATTGGAATCCACAAGAAAATATTCCTACCACTAAAATGAAAACAGAGACGATGCGTGAGCATCTCCCAAATCCCATCCGATTCATAATTGATCATATTTCGGTATGGTCAGAAGATCAAATTGAAAAACCGGGTTGTGCTATGTTATATCAGGAGTATCGTACATGGTGTGAAGCTAATGGTGAAAAGCCATTCAGTAGTAATAATTTTGGGAAAAAAATCCCACAAGTTAACATTGAACGCAAGCAAGCACGAATCAATGGAAAAAGAGAATGGCAGTATATCCTCGATCGTTCCAAAATCGTGGCCAAGCTACGTGAATCAGTAGGTGATATCGAGGAATTTTCTGACGCACCTCAAGCCGAGACATCCTCCGACGCATCCACAGATATCCCTGTATTTAACGTACCTGAAATTGTAGACCCAAAGGGTCATTGCCTTGCAATAAATCCTCAACCAGTGAAAAATATAGCCGAGTCATCGATCACCAATAACATCGAAAAAGGTAAGGAAATAGTGTCTACCCCAGCCATTACCGATATGTCCCAAGACCTCTTTGACTCAATAATAGATCAATCAGAATGTTCAGTTGCTTCGACATCAGTGTCTACTGATATATCTCCGCTCCCTGAGATCGTACATGTAGAACCTGTGGACGATAAAGCAGAACCTTCTCCCAAGATCATTGATTCGGTGAATGATAAACCCGAGATTTCTTCTAACTTGCCTGCAAATGATGAATCCAAACCCAGCAATAAAAAAGCCAACATCCAATCAGAATCATACCCCCCTGGATATATACCCCGAGAAGAGCGGGAAAAACGTCTCAGGCAATGGGCTATAGATCATAATGAGGATCCCGATAAGTTCGTGACCATTACAGATAAAGACAAAACTGATTCAATAGACTATCTCACAAGGATAGATGTTGACGCAAATACCTGTCTCTTTAATATAGAACAAGGTAACGATCCTCACGATTTTATGGAAATGACGCATCGGGAAAGATTGGTAGGAGAAGAAATCTTACGCCGTAGACTTGAAGATGCAGGCGAATCCATATGGCTTGACACTGATAAAGAATGGATAAAAAATAAAACCATACTCCAGGAAAATGGATTGCTATGGTAAGTTATTACAACTCGGTTTGATCGTTATGCTAAGGTGACAATAAAAAGGTTTTCTGGGTAGAAACATCCAATGGAGGGGGCTTTTTTGCCTCTTCAAACTAGCTAATATAAAATTTTTCAATAAAAATATTACAAAAACTACGTATTTTTTATGATATATACTATACTATAAACAAAATGAACGATCAAGAATTGGAACCCCCAGAAAAAGTGCTCAACTTATTAACTGACCGGATGATAAATCTGAATGGACCGACATTCCGTAAATTAATCCGCAATGGATATAGACATGTTAGTGATTTATCGAATTACTCAGAAATATCGATTATGGTTGTTCGGATCACACAGCCTTCTTATTTAATATATGGAAGCCAGCAGTAATACCACCACCCGAAATATTACAAAACAGACCGGACATATATCGCAAATATCTTATAACTGTTGAATCGTGCCAGAATTTATTTGGATAGGTGTATTAAATAATAGAAAAATGATTCGTAAACCTTAATATAACCTGGACCTCTATTTTTAAAGCTATATGCACAACGTACATGCGAAGCAAATTTTTTCGTAATAATCTATGTATTTGTAAAATTTAAATCGACAGATCCAATCCGGCCAATTTTTTCCTCCCATGCTCAGAAAAAGCATAATTAATTTCGATTTGAAAAAATATATTCATAGTTATAGTCCACACAATTATACCATAACAACAATGTCGAAAGTAGCTACAAATTTCGTAAATCAGTATAACTTAACTCCTCAGATGAGTATAGCTGAGCTTGGTAATTATGCTGAAAAAATATGTAAAGAGATTAAAGATTATAAAGCCCGTAATCATGCTCGGAATAGAATCCAAAAATTAGGATTTAGCAAAGATCAAACATATGCTTTAATTCCTATCCAGGCTTCCGGAAGGCGTGTTACAGGACGAGACCCGATTGAAAAGCTCGCTCAATATATTAAGGAAAATGAAGATAGTCTTGAACCCGAAGAGATAAATACGCTAGCATATAACTTAGCTAAAACAGCTCCTACTGTAATAGCTCAATCTTCACGTCTTAAATTGCTTCGAAAAAAATTGCGTATACTTAATGCTAAATATCTTACATTAGAAGCAACATATATACCCGATATTACTCAAAAATCAAATAAAGAGCAAGCAATAAATCAGGAACTCCGTGAAGATGAGGGATATGATTGTCCAGAATTCTTTTACCTGGAAAATGTCCAGAAAAGACTTAACGATTGTAACGTTACCAATTCCCCTACAATGCAAAATTTAATCGATATAATGATAATGTTATGTATGAGACCGGCAGATGTTGCAAATCTTCGTATTGATTACTATAAACCATCTAAAGTTGATGACCTTTTAAGGTCGCCCCTTTGGGCCTGGTACGATCCTAAATATTCTTGGTACTGCACTGGATATGCAAAAAATGCAAAAGATGAGCCCCGACCATTTGTATCTATGGAAAAAAATCCGGAACAAGCTAGAAAATTACTCATTTGGATCCAGAAAGCAATTCCGGTAAAATTTCCATTTCTAATGAGAGATAAAGACTCACAGAGTGAGGGCGCTAACGTGCCTGGTGATGTAAACGTTTACCCGATTAATAATTTCCTAGCTATTTATGGAATAAGCTCATCATATCTGAGAAAAATTGGATCTGATCATGCTATTGTTATTCACGGAAATAAGAATGATTCCAAACGTAAACGTCTCCGTCAATTAGCATTAAGACAGAAGGTAATTAATATCGCATCAGATCATTATGGTATAATGAATAATAGACCAATTATTCCAGTACCTAAGCAAGAGAATGATGAAGTCGAGGATATTATAGACTTATACAATTACTAATCACACTTCGTGGCTAGACAATTCGCGAATCAGAAATCATCATATTTCCGGCGTGATCCATCCAATCAGAATAATTAAAAAACCGGAAAATTATTAACCCGCATATATAGTGGGCTCTCTTTATTTTTTTAAAAAATTACCAGACGGCATACAGATAAAAAAATATATGTTTCAAAAAAAGTGAATCAATTATACGCTTGATCCAACATATCATCCCGTTGACCAGGATTTAACCAATCATTATCGTCATTCATCTTA